CCGAGGAAACCACCAAGGCGTCAACGGCAATACCAACCCCTTGCATCGCTCCGTAGATTCGAGACATCAGGGTGAGTGTGTCTTCGCCATCCTTGATAATGAGCAGGTCAACGTCGCTGTTGCGTCCAAAATCACCACGCGCGGCAGAACCAAATAGGATAATCCTCTCCGGATCGGCTACATCAACGATACGTTTGACTATATCGTTCAGAGTGGCCTGCTCAATCATTTGACATCCTCGCAGCATGTCTCATATTCAAACTCATAGACGATTGTACAGCAATTTCTCCTGTTCATCCCCTTCGTCCATGTTACCCTTTACGCAGAATTCCTCGGAGGCAAGTGTAATGTCCATTCAGGCGGTCATAGCGCAGGCGCAAGAGTACCTGCGCGCTCAGGGCATCGGCGGCTGGCTGCTCTACGACTATCGCAATATGAACCCCATCTTCTGGGACACGGTGGGCATTATCCCCAATGTCACCCGTCCGTGCTGGCTCTGGATCGCCGCGGATGCCCCGCCACAGTTGCTGGTCAGCTATGTTGATCAGGGGCGCTTCACACATCTGGGCATAGAGACCGCGCTCTTCGTTAGCCGGCAGGACATGACAGCCAAGCTCGGCGAAATGCTGGCGTCCGCTGACCGCATTGCAATGGAGTATTCGCCGCAGGGCGCATTGCCTCGCGTATCGCGCATAGACGCGGGAACGCTGGAGCTGGTGCGCTCGTTCGGCGTAGAGGTGGTGTCATCCGCCGACCTGCTGCAACACGCTACACAGCGCTGGGACGAAGAGCAGCTCCGCTCGCACCTCGCAGCCGCAAACGCATTGGGGAAGGTCGTGCAGCAGGCGTTCCGGCGCATCGGAGACACGATAGACGACGGTCCAACCGAGTTCGACATCGCGGAGTACATCAGGCAGCGGTTCGTCGAAGAGGGCATGGTCGTCACGGACGGGCCGGTCGTCGCGGCGAACGCGCACGCCGCCGACCCGCACTTCGAGCCGACAGAGGAGAACTCATCGGTGATACGGCGCGGCGACTGGGTGCTGATAGACCTGTGGACTCGCCAGCCACACGAGGACGCGATGTTCGCGGACATCACCTGGACGGCGTATGTGGGCGACAGCGTACCGGCGCGCCATCAGCAGGTGTTCGACGCAGTAATCGGAGGACGTGACGCCGCAGTGGACATGCTGGAGCAGGCGCACCGCGAGGGCAGGACGCTTGAAGGCTGGCAGCTTGACACCGCCGCGCGTGAGCATATCACGCAGGCGGGGTTCGGCGACTACTTCAACCATCGACTCGGACACAGCCTCGGGCGCGAAGTCCACAGCAACGCCGTCAACCTAGACGGCTGGGAGACGCACGACACGCGCAGGCTAATCCCCGGCATCGCCGTAACTGTGGAGCCTGGCATCTACCTGCCGGGCGAGTTCGGCGTACGCTCGGAGATTGACCTGTTCATGGGCAACAACGGCCCGCAAATAACCACGCAGGTGCAGCGTGACGTGGTGCTAATTGATGCCTGACTAGCTCACATCGAGCACAGGCCGGCACAGGATATCGGGCTATGCCCATAGGGTCGATCTACGCCTGGGGGACGAGACAGAGCTCTGTCTAAAACGCGCTAGACGCCCGCCAGCGATATTACCGAGGGTCGCCCTCTGGGAATCATCGCCAAACACGACCCAAGTGTGCGTCTCTTCATCCTGAAACCTGACTATCGCCTCTGCCATCCCTAACTCAACCTGCTCACCATTGGCGTACTCGAAAACTTGGCGTTTTGTGGGGATGATGCCCACTCTTCAAGCACGGGTAGTGGGCAACCCTGCGTAGTCGCTCCACTGTGTCAACCAGAGCCTCCATCTCCTCAAACCGCTGCCCATGCAGGTCGCCAACCTCATTGTACACTGATGTTCCCATATCGTACGCCTTCACATAACAATTCCAATTGTTTGTACAGTGTACACTACATCTTGCATGCAAGTAATGAACAATCTATCGACTGTTACTGTCCGGTCATCCCCGCTCAACACTCGTCAGGCGCGTGAACCCTAGCATCACCGCCGCAATGAGCACCGTCGCACCGCTGAACACGAACGCGTCCGACGTGCTTCCTAAGTCCACAATCACGCCCGCCAGAAACGGCGCGAACGCCCCAAGGAACGATGCGCCGTATATCAGAGACACCACCGTTGACTGAGCCTCACCCTGCGCCACTTCCATCGCCGCCGCGATGTATATCGCATGCAGCGCGTACAGGAACGCTACCCATCGCCAGCGCGATTATGCCGAACTGCATGCCGGGCAGCGCCATCGCCAAGGGGCCTATGGAGAATATGACGGGATTGTCAGTGGGCGCGAACTTCAGCGCAATCATCAGCAAGCCCAGCGCAGCCGTTGTAGGCACCAGCACTCTTTTGTGCCCGAACTTGTCTGCCATGAAGCCCATTGCAGGCTGCGCCAGTATCCCCACAACCTGGATACTTGCCATAAACAGCCCGATGACTATCGCGGATATCGACTGATCCTCCAGCAGATATACTGGCAGGAACGCCATCATCGCGCCCTGTCCCATGCTGCGCAGCGCGGTCGTCAGCACCAGCGCCTGCATCCCCCTGCGCCGCAGCAGCTTGAACAACGAGGTGAAGTAGTCGCGCAGCGATTCCGTCTCGGTGCTCGCGGTAGGAATGCCGCGCATCATCAGGTATATAAGCAAGGCGGACACGAGTGCAGGCCCGACACTCAGTTTCAGCACATCGCTCCAGTGGAAGGCGACAAGATATGTCCCCGTTATCAGCCCGCCGGTCAGAATCGGACCCACAACCTCGCCCACGCTGCCGCCCGTGCCATGCCATGATATGGCGAAACTGCGCTTGTCAGGGAACTTGCGCGAAAGCGTAGCTATCGCCGGCGAGTGATACAGCGAAGGCCCTATGCCCACAAACAGCATCGCCGCGAACATCAGCCAGTAGTTCGGCGCGCTACCCAGCAGGTAGTACGAGATGCCCATCATGCCCAGCGAGATCATCAGCATCACGCCTGAGCGGTTGGCGAACCTGTCGCCGAGGTAGCCCGCGACCATCGTGGTCGCGCCGCTGGTAATCTCACCTGATGTGGACAGCAGTCCGAACTGCGCGCCGCTCAATCCCAGGTCGTTCTTTAGTACGGCCAGAAGGACGGAGTGCAAGCCCGAATTGTAGATGTGCTTGACGGCATGCCCCAGCACCACAGTCGCCGCAAGCCTGTTTCTGCCCCGCCTGATCTCCTCGGACAGCGGTTCACCGCCCGCTTGCGCTCCGATTTGCGGCAATGTAATTCTCCCATCGAGTCAAAGTCGCAGCCAATCATAGCAAACGGACACAAACACAATTGCCCGGTGCAAAGTCCCTTCTTCCCTCGATCGGAAAGGTCAGGATGGGGTAACTGACATCAGTGGACAGGCTGTCAGGCGCTATTCACCAGGATAGGCGTTGCGAGCACACTATGCGTGGGAACGAGACACTGATGCTCTTCGTCAACGAGCGGGAACAGCCCACTCAGAGAATATTTGCCAAGCCGCGTGTCGCAGCACCCACCGCCAAACACAATTCAAGTGTATGTTTCCTCGCCCTGAACTCCTGACTATTACCTCCGCCATTCACAACTACGCATGCTAACCCCTGTCAGCCGGCGTCAGTCGAATCAAAGCCAATACCACCCCCGCCAGGAATACCATCACCCCGCCGTACACGAAGGCGTCCGATGTGGTTCCGAAGTCCACGATGACGCCCGCGAGGAATGGCGAGAACGCGCCAAGGAAGGATGCGCCGTATATCAGCGACACAACCGTTGACTGAGCCTCGCCCTGCGACACATCCATCGCCGCCGCAATGTATATGGCATGCAGCGCGTACAGGAAAGCTCCCATAGCTAATGCGATTATGCCGAACTGGAGGCCGGGCAATGTGATGTTCAGCAGCACAATGTCAATCATAAGCGGATCATCGGTCGGTGCGAACTTCAGCGCAATCATCAGCAAGCCCAGCGCAACCGTCCCGGGCACCAGCACCCTCTTATGTCCGAACTTGTCTGCAAGCCAGCCCATCGCAGGCTGAGCCAGTATCCCGACGAACTGGATACTGGACAGGAACAAACCTATGACTATCGCGGATATGCCCTGGTCCTCCAGCAGATACACTGGCAGGAACGCCATCATCGCGCCTTGTCCCATGCTGCGCAGAGCGGTCGTCAGCACCAGCGCCTGCATCCCCCTGCGACGAAGCAGCTTGAACAGCGAGGTGAAGTAGTCACGCAGCGATTCAGTCTCTGTGCTCGCGGTGGGAATGCCGCGCATCATCAGGTAGATGAGCAGTCCGAAGATGAGAGCAGGTCCTACGCTTATCTGCAAGACCTCGTTCCACTTGAACGCAACGAAGTACACGCCGTGAATCAACCCGCCGGTCAAAATTGGGCCAATCACCTCACCTACGCTGCCGCCCGTGCCGTGCCATGAAATGGCAAAGCTGCGCTTGTCAGGGAACTTGCGCGATAGCGCGGCTATCGCCGGCGAGTGGTACAGCGACGGCCCTATGCCCACCAGCAGCATCGCTGCGAGCATCAGCCAGTAGCTCGGCGCGATCCCCAGCAGAAAGTACGAGATGCCCATCATGCTCAGCGAGATCATCAGCATCACACCGGAGCGATTGGCGAACCTGTCGCCCAGATAGCCCGCGACCATCGTAGTCGCACCGCTCGTAACGCGCCCGGATGTGGAGAGGAGCCCGAACTGTGTGGCGGTCAGCCCAGGTCGTCCTTCATCACCGCCAGAATGACGGACTGCAATCCGGAGTTGTACATGTGCTTGATGGCGTGTCCAAGCACTACCGTAATCGCAAGCCTGTTTCTGCCCCGCCTGATTTCCTCAGATAATGTTACAACGCCTGTCTGCGCCACTGCGGTCCCTCCATCGAGTCAAAGTCCGCAGGCAATCATAGCACACAGGCGCAAGCATAAATTTCTTGCTAATCCGCCTCATCACCCGCCAGCATCAACATCGAACAGGGCTGCAAGTTCGTCCAAATCCGCAACCGTGGCGTCCGGCGTCTCCCCATCCTCACGCTGGCTGCTGCAACCGTCCTGGCCCCTGAAGGATTCGCACCGTGCGGAAGCCGAGCGCTCTTCGCAGGGCGTATGTCGTTGTCCAGCCTGTCGCCGACCATTACGGCATCGCCAGGCGCGCACTCCGCCTGCTCAAGCGCAAGATGAAATATCGCGGCGTCGGGCTTGCTGATTCCTATGTCGCCGGACGAGACGCACACCTCGAAGTAGCCTGACAGCCCGTATGCTTGCAGGCGCTCAGCCGTGCCGGGCGGCTGATTAGCAATGATGCCAAGTTGGTATCGTCCTTCAAGCCGCGCCAGCAGTCGCTGAGCCTGCGGATACGGCGCTTCCAATTCCTTCGGATACCTGCCGGAAGATCGCACGAAGGCTATGACATCTTCGTCATCGGTGAAGGCTTGCAGCACATTGCCGAAGGGACTCGGGTCGAAGCGAGCAGATGCTGCCTCAAGTGCGTCGTGCAGTTTGTCGGTAGATGCATCTATGCCTCGCTGCTTCAGCGCATCCGACGCCTGGCTCAGCCTGCCCATCGCTGCCGCGTCCTCGTTGATGAGCGTGTAGCCGAGGTCGAAGAACAGCCAGCGAACGCCTTCCAACTCCAACGCCATACTACTATCCCCTGGCATTGGGACGGATATTGCCCTCCGCGTCCGCCTCCAAGAGCGCATAGAAGTCGTAGCCGCGTCGCCGCAGCTCGTCGCTGCCGCCCTGATGCCTGTCAATGATTGCCAGCACCTTGACCACCTCGCAGCCGGCGTCCTCAACCGCATCAATTGCGTGAAACAGGCTTCCACCCGTGCTGCACGCGTCATCCACAACTGCGACGCGAGACCCAGGCACCAGCGGTCCCTCGATAGCGCGCTTGCCGCCGTGCTCCTTCGCCTCCTTGCGCAACGATGAGGCCCGGGATTTCCGAGCCGTCATCCTGGTAGCTCATCACAGACACCGCGGCAACGATCGGGTCGGCACCGAGCGTTGGCCCAGCTATTGCTGCCGCGCCGCACTCCCGAAGCACCGTCAGGAACGCGCGCGCCACATGGTATGCCCCCTTCGGGTCGAGAGTAACGATGCGCCCGTCGAAGTAGTACGAACTCGTGCCGCCCGCCGAAAGACGAAACTCGCCGAATGTCAGCGCGCCCTTATCCTTGGCAAGCTCAAGTATGATCTCAGCGTCATTGTTGCCCATGAAGACCTCTTGCAGATAGAAAAGTAGTCACCGAAACTAAATTTATGATGCTTCCTGAGATTCCACTGGATTGCCAAGCCTAGAAAATCTTGTCAATCTCCAGCGTGAACCCCTGAAGCAGCGGCGAAACCAGCATCTGCCCCTCGCCATATATGCCCGCCACCTTGTATTCTCCGTTGTCCAGCGTAAGAACCATCGCAATCTTGGCGTCCGTGTCAGCCTGCCAGTATTCGGGCACGCCGTGCAGCGCGTATCAACGTGCGCTTTAGCGTCCTGTCGCGCTGCGCCGTGGACGGCGACAGAATCTCTATTACCAGGTCGGGAGCGCCGCGGATGTTGTCCTCATTTATGATATGCGACCGCTCCTTGCTGACGAACAGCAGATCAGGCTGTACCACATCCGTGTCCGACAGCACCACATCGCACGGCGCATGAACACCTCGCCCATGTCGTTCTCGGCAACGAATGTATGCATCGAAATCAACATCTTCCTTGAAGTCCTCTGATGCGCTGTTCGGGGCGCAGGAACCATAATCAACTCACCGTCCAGTAGCTCATAACGCTTATCCTCAGGCGTGTGTTTGTAGTCTTCGTATGTGAACTTTATCCGGCTTCTCTGAGTCGCCATATCTATGCAGGCCCCCTTCTAAGAGACTTCCCTCGCAAGGAAGATCGGACACATCAAATTGTACACCACCGTAGTAATAGAAGTTCGGACGAAAGTTGCGTGGCAGGGATTAGAGCGGAGGAGGAACCTGACATCAGGCAGCGGCAGCGTACAGCCCGTTGTCATAAATATACCTCTCGACTTCAACAGGCACACGGTAGCGGATCGACTGGCTGCAGAAGCGCGCCTGCGTATGTCGGTGCCGCTGATGTCAATCAGCGCGCTATCCAGCAGGCGCATACGGCTCGACGCGCCCGGAATGGCGGCGTGCAGCACACTCGGGTCTAGCGTTGCGCCGGGACGCGCCATACCTGCAACGCTTGCCATCTGAAAGACTCGGCTCGGCTGGTGCCACCGGTCTATCTCCCGCAGCGCGTCCAAGCCGAGAATCACAATAAGTTCGGCGTCCGAGTACAGTTCATGCAACTCTTGTAGAGTGTCCACCGTGTAGCTCGGACCGCTGCGCTCGACTTCGATGTCCGACACATCGAAGAGCGGACTGTCCTTGACGGCAAGCTGCACCATCGCCAGCCTGTGGTGCGCCTCCGTAATCTGCCTGTATGACTTGAACCACGGCTGTCCGGCGGGTATGAACAGCACCTTGTCAAGCTCTAAGGCGGCGCGCGCATCCTCGGCGACAATGAGATGCCCCATGTGAATGGGGTCGAATGTGCCGCCGAACACGCCGATTCGCACGCCTACTCCCACTCCCACTCGACTTCCCCGAAGCGCACGGTATCGCCGGGCAGCACGCCCGCATTTTCGAGCGCCCTCACCACACCTGCGCGCTGCAAGTAGCCAAGGAATTGCATCCGGGCATTCCAGTCGTCCTCATTCAGCAGGGCGGCTATCCGCACAGCCCTCCGGGCTCGCACATCAAACACATCGCCGCGCTTGCGCACCAGCACAGTCTCTCTGCGAGGCTTCGGACGCAGCACGGGCAACTCTTCGTATTCGCTTCTTGTAAATCCATTTCAGGCAGGATCGGAGGCAGTGTGTCGGCAGTTTCAACGGACTCCAGCGCAGCCAGCACGTTGTCGAGCAGACCGTCAAGTCCGCTTTGCGTTACCGCGGATATGAAATGCAGTGTCCTTTCATCTTCAGGGACATCGGCGCCTCTTCCGCGTAGCCGTCCCCTGGCGGCAGTATTGCGGTCGGAGTAGGGCAGCAGTCCGAATTCATCGGCGAACATCTCCGAGAGCAAAGGCGCAATCTCCTGAACCTCGGTTATGTCCATCTTGTTGACGACGACGACCTGCGGCTTGGCTGATAGTGTCTCATTGAACATCCGCAACTCGCTGTTAATCTGGCGGAAGTCGCGTAGCGGGTCGTCAGCAGAGCCGTCTATCATATGCACAAGCACGCGCGTCCGCTCCACATGGCGCAGGAAGTCGTGTCCCAAACCGACGCCCTCATGCGCGCCCTCTATGATGCCTGGGTATATCCACCATCACGAAGGTCTCCTTGCGATGCTCCACGACGCCCAGCACCGGCTCAAGAGTCGTGAACGGATAGTTAGCCACCTTTGGGCCGCGCCGCGCTTACAACCGACAGCAGGCTCGACTTGCCCGCATTCGGCAACCCGATGATACCCACGTCGGCAAGCAGTTTCAGCTCAAGCCGCAGGTGAAGTGTTTCTCCCTGTTCACCCTGCTCGGCGAGAAGCGGGTACTGATTCGTCGGCGATGCGAAGAAGGAGTTGCCGCGTCCTCCACCACCACCGCGAGCAAGCTCAACCCTCTGGCCATGCTCAGTCAGGTCTGCGAGCAGGCGAGGACTCCTTGACTCGGCATCCCAAACCTGCGTTCCGACAGGCATCCGTACTGCAATATCTTCCCCATCTGCGCCGTGCTTGAGAGCGGGCATGCCGTTCCCACCGTCGCCGGCAGCGAATCGGCGTTCGTACCGGAACGCAAGCAGCGTGTTCATGTTGGAGTCGCACTCTGCGAAGACACTGCCACCCCTTCCACCATCGCCTCCATCGGGGCCTCCGC